TTTTTTTTTTTTTGGGACAGGCAAATATCATCTTCATAAGCAAATAGGCTCCGGAGAAAAATTGTCATTTCCAATCATAAAACTCAGAAGCTATGCCTTTGCCAAAATCCAGAACTTAGTTCTATTCTGGCCTAACTTGTTCACTTATCAAAAAAACTATGCAAAAAACATACTCACCAGACCCTCACATGCAACAGCCATATGCCAGCAATTCGCTGCTAGTTAAGTACAACCAAACACGTCCAATTGCCGATTGAACATTCAATAGAATAATTTACCCTCTCCCGTTTGGCCATAGGTTTTTCACTTTTTTCAAAAATATTTTGAAAACATTGTTTGGTTATAAAAAGTGACCAGTTTTGGGAAGTTTTTGAGAATGAATTTTTCAAGTTCCAAAAAGTGGTTTAGACTATTTTTCAAGTTTTTGAAGTTTTCTACTCACAAAACTTCAACTTCTTTACGAGTAAAATCCAAACACAATTTCAACTTCCAAAAACCATTTTTCGTTTCATCTTAAAAAACTATTTTTTTTTAAGTTTCAACCAAATCTATGTCCAAACGCTATAATGAAAAATACAGCTTTAACTAGAGAATTAAAAATTTGGACGATGATATTTTACACTTTTGCAGGATATTCACAGAAAAGAGCCTCTGAATCATTCCAATATGAGAAATTAAGGGTGTCACACACCAGCAAAACTTGTATGAGGCCTTTCCTTTGATAGACATATGGACTGTGGCTCTCAATAATCAGTTCCTCCCTACCCATCTTCTCCGGTTTCTCTTACTTCAACCCTTGCCAATTGACCTCCTTACCCATCCTCTCCTGTTTCTCTTACTTCTGCCCTTGCCAACCCTCCTTTATCTTTCATAAATTCACTCATAGAAATTTGCCATTTCTCCACCTTTTTCATTTTTACTATGGTCTAGCATGTTGTACCGATATCAATAGCAAAAGCTCATCAAATTGCACCCAAGGTTTAAGTCTGGATTTCTTGTATATGCCTAAGCAGTTGCCCTCGCTTTGAACTCATATTTCTGTTCGGTGACTGTGATTTTGTGTTGGAGAATCCACTGCTTAGTCTGTTTTCATAATTTTAGCCTTTGCTTTGATCTTTTCTTTTTTCCTTTTCCCTTTTCTGTTTAATCTTTTTTTTTTTTACCTTGGAAGAGAGATAAATATATATAGACTAATGAAGGAGTGAAAAAGAGGATAGAAAATTTAGGATAGAAAAACTAGGAAATGAGCTAAAAACCAATAGATTACCAAGGGGGCCTCTCTCTGCTTATGACCATGTAAAGACTACAAACGAAACGATGATGATGGTGCCCGGTGAAGGGATGACGAACTTTAAAAAAACAGAATTTAGAGTGGAAGAATAAGCAGGGATAAAGATGTACAAAGAGATTTACTGATATCTTTCCTAGAAAGGGGCTGAAAGTGTAGTCCCTGAAACTTTTAAACAAGAGAGAAAATAGGAAAGAAATGGTGAACTGGTAGGGGGAAAAGAGAGAGTAAGCAAGCACTAGGGTGATCCATAACTCCAGATGGCTAGTAAAGGGATGGCCTCACACTTATTTGCTGGTATACATTTCACATGATATAAGATTTCTCTTCCAAGATATCCTGATGCAAACTCTTGTTTGAGAAAGATATCCCACTGCAAACTCCCTTCAACTTCTGTTTAATGAGTGATTTTTTATATTTTTGTAGTATACAAATCAGGGAAAACATCTTCCACATACTCCAACAAACCCAAAGGTAGACAATCTCTCTCCAATGCTCTTATTTATAGTTATTACTGTGACAAAAAACGATGAATCCTGTCTATAAGTACACTAAACCACAGACCTAGACAAAACAATGGGTTTCCAACAAGTTCATTCAATATAAATAAGAAAACATCCAATCGATCAGAGACTTCATCTCCATAATTAATACCCCCATACAGCGCTACTTTGATCATCTCCTTGTGAGTGTTCGTTAACTTCAGAAAAATTAAAGCAATTCCCACACAACTGATGCTCTAGCAATTTTCTAACCAAGCCACCAAGGAACTCTTTCTGTCAAAATCCAATCAAAATAAAAAGGAAAGGCAGCAAGCAAAAGGTTCTAACTGACTTGGGAGGCAACCAATTAATGACCACATTTTGTCAAATCAACACACAGTCAATTTCATCACTGAAGCTCAGAGCTCTTATTTTTGCGGAGTCGTTTAGCACATTGGGACAAATAGGAATAACTAGTAAATTCAACATTTGGAAAGCGCCTACATCTAATCCTTAAGCCGCCATCCCCCTTCCTCGTTGACCATTTTGCTATCATCCAACTCACTTTCTATAACACTTTCTACACTCCTCCACCACCTCTCTAACTCCGACAAGAGAAAAAAAGGAGGGAAAAGCGAAAGAGGAAGAAGATGCAAATTTTCTGCATATTGCATTGCCATGTGCATACCATAGGGTAGAACAGCAAACAGGCAAACCATTAGAATCAACCTAAATAGAACACCACAAAGTAGTTTAGCCAGAAGCTATCTTGGAAGAGAGGTCCATGGTACTGAAAGCAGTGAAAATGGCTTCAACAGGAGGCATCTGCGAGTGTAGGACAACAACATTGAGCATCAGAAACTACAAAAAGCAGTAGACCTTGAATAAATTGTGTTAGAAAGTCAGGCCCATCTCTCACCTCTTAGCAACACTGAGTAATTCTTTCTCACCCGAGATCAAGGGGTAGATAAAGTCTAGAATGGCCAATCTCTGGTAGCTTAAGAAATAAATAAAAGATCATCTTTATGAGTACTGAGATGGAGGTCATAAGCTTCCGCGAACATGAAGGGAAGGCAAGTAGTTGTGAGGTGATTCATCAACCATATTAGACCTTACCAACTCAAGAAATCCAACTTCGGGGTCTATGTGACAATAAAAATTAAATTGACTTCTTCAGTATTTTTTGGGGGGGGGTGGGCAGATTGGTGAAGTTATGCTCACACTAATTGTCTAAATTCAAAATTAAACTAATGGGTTAAACCACAATCAGATATGACAACAAAAGTCGACATTTAAGAAAACAAGCATATAGAACAAAAAGCATACCTCTTTGACAAGATCACTCAAAGCAGATACTCCAAGGCAACCAACCGCAGTCCATATGAGATAAGATTTCCGCTCTCTCAAGCGTTTACAGACATCCAATACAAATCTGAAGACAAAAATTCAAAGAGAAAGTCAAAGCCTGCTACATTTCAACAATAAATAATAAAGATGCTAATTCTTGTAAAGACTAGTATATACAAAATGAAGTAACAACTTTGACCAAAAAGTTAGCCTTTAACGCAACTTATATATGGCTAGATTAGAAAAGAAAATAAATCCATGCATCAGTCATACGGTATCTAACTTAAAAAGACAATTATCTGCCCTTCATCAACCTAGATCAAGCTCAATAATGCTTTCTGTATGGAAATAAACATAATATGCATATGGTGATAAGCAACGCAAAGCTTCTTTTTCCCCCTTTAAAAGGTATAGCGTAACAAACCTGTTAATATCTGTGACCTTTGGACCCGAAGAACCTCTCTTACGCTTGTTCTTCCTCTTGTTTTTCTTGCGTCTCTGATTTTTATTGCCTGAGACGGGATTAGTCGAACTAGCACATGCATCACCACTTTCCTCTAATCCAGTCTTAGAAATCCTCTCAACCAATTCTCCTTCCTCAATATCATTCATTTTAACATCATCATCCTCGAAGCTCTCCTCTTCATCAGAGAAATCTAAAATGCTATCCTCTAGCTCCATCAAATTATAAAGCCTGCAGGAGATTTAACGAAATGTTATCCCTCTACAATGCCAAAAGAGGATGTTACATGCACAAGGGAAGTGAAGTATGTTGCAATGTAGTGGGACTAATATGTGATAGAGGTATATCAAAACAAGCAACAGAAGGCAAGGCAGAAAGTATTCGCTTGGTATTAATAGCAATCCATACAGCACTCCAAAAACTTAAACATGTAATACGAATTAGTTGAAAACCTGTATAGCAACCAAGAATAACCACCTAGAAACTTATGAGACGTGATTAAATAATCAATCATTTAACCGCCATAGGAAAGCTCAATTTGTTCCACTTTAATTCTGAAAGAGTACTCTGTTTCAGCAGCACTGTTTTACATGGTTACACCGGCTTTTTAAGTAAGAAGCTTAATCTGTGGCTCCCTGCTCTTGCACCCAGATAAGATCCAAACTATGCTGCATGGACCCAAGGCTAGTATTTCTAACTTGATGAACCCCCATTTCAGGCTTTCTAAATGTCAAAGTTAGACACATTTGTTATCCATTTTCTAAGTGGATAATATGGTTCTTATTCATATTTGACCTGTTTTTAAAAAGTTCATCATCCAACCCATTTTTTAGTGGATAATATGGGTGGTTAACTGTTTTTTTTAACCATTTTGCCACCCCTATTGATGAGTTATATTTTTATCCTCAATGTGCAACTTAAACAGTTCAAATCATTCCTATTTTCATTTTCTTCCTCTCCATTCTAAAAATTCCTTCTCTACCAATTTTATTTTGTTTTTCTTTCTTTACAGTCCAACTCCCAAACTAGTTAGACTTAGCTACATGAATCTTCTATATCTGCATTGTTCCACGACCAATTTCTGAGTCTCAAAAACTACTAGACTCCAGAACATGTTTTCCTCTTGCAAATAAAGACTCAGAATAAAAATAAAAATAAAAGGAGAAGAAAATAAAACAGAATGAACTATCAATAGTAATGCATAATCAAGTCTCCCATAACTTGCTCAAAGCTTCAAAATATTCTCCGGAAGAGATACACTCCAAAGAAAAATCATGCAATGAACGATATACACATTAAAAATTAAAATCAAACGAAGGCGCAAAAGTAGGAATTATCTATTTTCATTCAATTTATGACAAAAACATACACAAATGAAATTCATCTATTGGTTTGACTGTTATCAAGCTGGGATGAGCTCACAAATAGAGAGAAAAACAAGTACTTGGTCATTTGATTTATCAAATCATGCTTGCAAATTATAAACCCTAGATAAACTGCAGATGGTACAAATACATCATACCGACTAAGCGAAAACATGTAGAAACAGAGGAAATTGAGATGAAACAGGTAAGGTTCAGCAGAAAGGGAAACAAACCTTTGAGTACGTATAACACTGCTTGTGATGAGCGTCTGAGCGATGAGTTCTAGAGGTGGCGGGGTGAGCAGAGGTTTATATACCTCCACCTTGGCTTCAGTTTGGGCTTGTTGAACCAATCAGGTGTTGGGCTAAGCCCATTAATTGGGCTGGATTTGGTAAGTCAATAGTTTCATCGGCCTGGTACTAATTTAGGCCTAAATATATCTGAATCTTTCTTTACAGTACTATCGTATTAATGCCTCTGATAGAAATGACACTCTAAAGTACCGTGGTACTTAGCTAATGTGTCCTGAATTTTAATTTTTCAGTTTACTTTTCGGGACACAAATATCTTGAATTTTCTTGAAATTAAGATTTTTAGTTTAAATTTTCAGGATAAAATAAGTATTAGTTAATCCCTAAATAGTAGCCCTAAGAATGGTTGTTTATGAACTTCCTCCAACTTGTAGGAATGTCGCTAGATTGCTAAACTGGCAATAAATTCTTGAGTAATTAACTTAAATCTGTCCATCCGAAGAAATAGTCCGCTATATGAACAACACTATTTATTGTTGAGATAACAACAAACTAGATAGTATTGTTCCGTCAATAATATATGTATGCACGATAAAAAGAAGTAGAAATAAAACTACAAACTAGACTTATATAATGTTGGTATGCTACAAAAGAACAGGAGAAACCATTGTAAATAAAGCAAAAAATTTAAACGCACAATGATTAATACGAGAAGGAGCATATAAATACATAATAAATAAAAAAGAATAAGAAAAAAAGGTTAAATTAATGAGGGATAATTTAGAAAATATAAATTTACTGTAAGGATATTTCTTGTCTTAAAAAAATTAATTTTTGCTTCTGCTTCTTGGAAGAAGCTAGAATTTGTAGCTTCTTCTCAAAAGCAGAAAAATTGCTTCTGCTGCTGCTCAAGACACTTCTTCGTCTTGGCTGAACACCTCACAAAATTAAAAAAAATGCTATTAACCTCCCAAAACTTTGGCTAAACACGCGCTTAGTGTATACATATATGTATATGGCTAGGGCTTATTAATATTTTTGACCGAGCGACTAAATACGTAACTTACCGCAGCACTCACTGCTCCTATCAACAGCAACTCTACCTACTACACTTGCGGCAACACCTGCTATACAAGAGCTGACTTAACAATGACAGGAAAAAAAAAACAGAGTCTAAAAACAGCTTCAAAACACCCAAAAACGACCTCAAAACCACCCCCAAAACTAGTTATATTCCACCTTAAAACAATCCCAAACCACCAAAAAAGTAGACTGAAACGGCCCCAAAAACTCGGCTAACAATCCAATGTCAACCATGGAAAACAAATCTCTAAAATCAGTTAGAGAGGTGGAAGAAAAAGAAAACTTACCGGAGATGGAGAGGAGCCTGAGTGCTGACGATGGCCGCTTGGATTGACTGCCGACGACGCTGGTGAAGCCTGGGATTCACCACAGAAACATTGAGGCGGAGAAAGAGAAGAGGAATGGCTAATAGCCTATTTGGCCAAGCCTTTTTTGGGCCAAAAGTGTTTTTTTTATGTGTTTGGCCAAGCTTTTGGAAGGAAAAAAGCGTTTTTGAGGAAAAACATAAAAAAGTAGCTTCTCTCCAAAAACACTTTTCTGAGAAGCACTTTTGAGAAAAATACACTTAGAAGCAGTTTTAAAAAACTTGGCCAAACACTAATTACTGCTCAAAAGTGCTTTTCTAATTTATTAGCCAAACACAAACTACTTCTCAGCAAAAGCACTTTTTTTAAAAAGTACTTTTGACAAAAACACTTCTCAAAATAAGCTTATTTTAGAAGCTTGGCCAAACGGGCTATAAGTTAGGGATAACTTATTTTTTAAAATAATTGTGAAACTTAATGATTAAATTCTAAAATAATTCTCTCACTTATAAATATTATATATTGTATAACAGAAATTATAATTCACAATTAATAAAATTCTAACTAACAAATTACCATGAATCAATATCAAATTTATAATTATTTAGAATCTAACATGTAATATAAACCAAAATTAATGACCCATAATTTTAGTGTAATTATTAATTTATAAGCTAATTAATTATCACTGATACACTTCTACGTAATGTAATTATCAATTTATAGTCTAGTCGAACCTAACATTACTTAAGAATATTACTAATGCACTTATACTTAGTGTAATGACAATCTATAAGCTAATTACAATTAATACACTTACTAATTACAAATAATACACTTCTACTTAGTGTATTATCAATGTATAGACTAATTAATTATTAACATTAGTAAAGCATACCACTACTACACTTCTACTTATTGTTATCAACTTATAAGATAAACAATCACTAATATTTCTTGTCGATACCATTATTACACTTATATTAGCGTGTAATTATTAATGAATAGGCTAATCAATAACCAACATTATTTAAGAATACCACAAATCTACTTCTACTTAGAGTAATTATCAATTTACAAGCTAATTATCAGTTTATATTATTAGTTAGTATAATTATTACAAATACGGTTTCACTTAGTGTAATTATCAATAGTTATTATAATCTGCAAAATAATCTTAAAGATATTTCTATGAAATAGCATCTAGGTAGTGTGATTATCAATTTAGAATAGATCATGTGCCAATCCACTTATACTTGGTGTAATTATCAATTTATAAGCTAATTGTCATTAATACACTTCTACTTTATGTAATTATCAATTTATAAGTTAATCAATCACTAACATTTCTTACTGATATTACTAATGCACTTCTATTTAGTGTAATTCTCAATCCATAAGCTAATCAATCAGTAATAGTTCTTAAGACTATACTAATAGACTTCTACTTAATTATTATAATTATCAATGTATAAGCTAATGAATCACTAGCATTACTATAGGATACCACTAATATTACTTGACGATACCACTAATAAACCTCTACTTACTTAATTATCAAACTAAAGATAAACAATCACAAACATTTCTCACAAATAGCATTAATACACTTCCATTTAGTGTATAATTATCAATGTATAGGCCAATCAACCACTAACGTTACTTATATAAGCATACCACTAGTTCACTAATACTTAGTGCAATTTTCAATGTATATGGGCTAATCAATCACTAATATTACTTACAGATATATTATTAATATACTTATACTTCGTGTAATTATCAATCTACAAGCTAAGTACAACTAATACACTTTTGCTTAGTTTATTATCAATGTGTATGATAATCAATTATTAACGTTTCTTAAGGACACCATTAATACACTTCTACTTACAGTAATTATCAATTTATAAGATAAACCATCACTAATATTTCTTATGGAAACGACTAATACACTTCTTCTTAGTGTGTAATTACTAATGTATATGTTAATCAATGTAGTTAAGGATACTACGAATTCACTTTTACTTTGTGTAATTATAAATAACTAAGGTAATTACCACTAATATATTTTTAAGTAGTGTAATTACCTTCACTTAGTGTGAATTTCAATAAATAGGCTAATCAACCACTAAGATAATTAAGTAAATACTTATCGAGGGACTTACCGATGGCCTCCCTCGGTATTGCGTAATAAAAAGTAAAAAATAATTATGTATAACATTATATATTTAAATTACCGATGGAAGCCCATCGGTAATGTAAGAACAAAATTCAAAATATTATGTAAATGCAATAGCAATTGAGTACGTCAATAACTTTATTTTCTTTTTCATTTATTTTTTTAAAAGCACCGAGAGACATCATCGGTACCTAAAAAAATAATTCAAAAATATAAATATAAAATGTTCCGAGGAGTCCATCGGTAAATTACCGAGGCAGTGCATCGGTACTACCAATTAAATTTTGACCGGTCAAAATATCATTATTTACCGAGAGTTGTCCGTCGGTTATTTTTAAAGAAAATTAGAAATTAAAAACTTCAAAAGTACTGAGGGACTCCGTCGGAAAGTCCCTCGGAATAGCGACGGAAAGAAGTCCGTCGGTATTGCTGCGTCCGAAAACAGTTGTTTTTTAGTAGTGTCATACAACTGATTTCCCTAATCTTTTTTTAATGGTGGAGTTCCACGGACAAAATTAAGTAATTAAAAGTTATGCTCTTTCGAAAAAGTTTAAGTTTTTCAATGAGATGATCACACATATTAAACATTGTATGTTCTGAAAATTGCCCCAATAGACCTACGTACCTTGTTAAGTAAAGTGAAAATAACCTCACAAAACCCTATGGCTGAAGGTTAATTAGTCCGACCTAACTACCATGTTATGGTAGAGCACAAAAAAGATTTATATATACCATGTTAGTGCACAAAAAGAGTTGATCTTAGTGAGAATTGAACTCTTATTTCGTGCATTACTCGTTACTTCATCGTAGTATTTTAACTTCATGATCCAAGTTTTGTAGTAGAGAGTTGTATTTCCATTGCCTCAATAAAGGTGATGCAGGGAGAGAGGTCACTGGTCAGTTTGCAGCTTTTGAAAAATTATATAATAAAAAGGGAAATTGAAACATTTAAAGGGGCTTATGTCTCATAGATTGAAACTGGCTTATGCAATAAGAACAAACTTGTTACCGTCAAATGATGTGGTGCAGCGGATGGAGCTGCTCTTTCCTTAACCAGAGATATTGAGTTCGAGCCCTGAATATGAAAAAATCCTTGGTAGGGAGCACTTCACCCTGAATGAGGCCCTATGCGGCTTGAATCCGAATATAATCGGGTTCCAATACAGATACCGAACACCAGATCGCAAACAAAAAAAACAAATTTGTTAACTTCAAGAGTTCAAGGAAGAAAACATCACTGTCCTTGTATACCATAAGACTTTCCGACAAAATGTTGATTTGACATCAAAAACTATACGAATTGTTTGTCTTGAATGATAGACTCCTTCTTAACCTCATAGTTATCGCTACCTGACATTTCATTTTATGAAAACAAAGGATTCACTAAGAAACATTCGTTAAACACAAGAAGAAAAATACATGGAGTACAAGACACAAAATTGCTTTTAATTAGAGGGATGTGCATTTTAAGATATGGTATCCTTGTTTTTTTTTTAAATATTTACGGCACCTTAAAAAAAAATCTAGGTGGAGTGAGCGCATGAATATATAAAGGACGAGAAAGTAGAAGAGGAAAACTTTTTTGCTACATTAGTTGGAACCTTGCACTGAAGTAATATAACATGGCAACAATTAGTTAGCAACTAAAATCTTGTATGTATACTGTTATACATTTGTTAGTTTCACAGATGTGCCTAAAAATAAGCTAATTCTAATTATTATCTATTTTAATTTCCCTTATGCGGGTGACTAGTAATGGTCTTATCATTGTGTTAAACTTGATACTGGTCATCAGGGGCGGATTTAGGGGCGCAAGGTGTTCCCCCGAACATCCTTCGCCGAAAAATTATACTGCATATATAAGGCAAAATATGTTTTTTATCTTTATATATTAAGTTTTGAACACCCTTAACACAATCCAAATGTGTAGTTTAATGGTCAAGGGGGTTCAAAATCTACATAAGGTCATGGGTTCAATTCTCACTAGCTATAAAAATATTTTTTTGAACCCCCTCCGTGGAGATCCTGCCTCCGCCACTGCTGGTCATTTATGTGTATCACTACACTAAACACAAAAAATAAAAGAAAACATAAGTACATATCGATGGTAACGACATGAAAACTTAGCTTCGAAAATGTGAGTAACAATTAAAGATAAATTGTGGTTTTAAAAATATGTGATTTATTCCAATACTAGTGGAAGTACAAATAATATTAAATTTAAGTAAGAAGAATTGATGAATCAAACCAGTATTGTTAGAGCAATAGGGGCCTCGAGCTCGATTATCTCAGGGGCCTCGAGGAGAGCTAAGAACAATAAAGTAAAAATGATAAAGCTGAAGAACAATTGTCGAGCACGGTAAACAAAAAAAGCAGAGTAGAATATTCGATTGCAGTCAATAATCTTCTTTACAAATGATTGGGGTCCCCTTTATATAGGAGGAAAAAATCCCAATATAGTACATTCATAATTGTGGTAAAGAATTCTATTGGTATAAGTGTATAGCAACCTAGTACGAACTTGTACTATTTTGTACAAATCTTATCCTATAATTTATGTCCTGACCCACGTGTCCTTGAGAAATTCCCGTTCTTTCTTGAGTGTCTTCGAGATTGTTCTGCCCTCGATATAGGTCGTGCCTGGCCTTCGATCTGCTCCCTCGAGGCGTGTGTCCTTCAGCCGGGTCCGACCCCCACTTCGAGTCGCCCGGACTCGAACTCATAGCCCCAATTTATGCCTTCAAAATCAGGCTACTCGATTCTGACCGTATACAATAAGTTTCATGTAAAAGAAGGAGAATAAATATATTGCAATATTTGTCAATGTCTAGACATCTTTCGTGAATTCCTATAGTTATTTGCTCTTTAAACCTTTGAAATCTACGTTGTCTATGTCTCTAGTGTTAGCTTATTAGAGGAGTTTGAACTCCTATAAATTTAATTTCTCATACACCAATTCATACAACTCAATAATCCCTTCCTATTTGAGTGTTTTAATTTCTTGGTTAAGCTCAAAATAATATACAATGATTAGATATGTCGTATTCCACGTTCTTCTCTCAATTTGGGCTAGTGTTGAAGGTCGGAGTATCTCTCGATTCTTAACAGAACAATCGACAGGGACCAAATGGGCTGTCCTAGTTGCTGGCTCCAATGGATGGTGGAACTATAGGCATCAGGTTATCATCAATCCCAACTATATTTCCTCTAAATCATCTAATCTTTCTAATACAATTAAATTAATTTTCCAAAGCTTTGTAATGTTATAATTGTCGTTATGGTGGTTAAATAACATTATCCTTACTTTACAAATTGTTAAACTTTCCTTTACAATTTTGAACTAAAACATGCTTATTTTTAGACTTGAGTGAGAGTTGAGACCTTATACCGATAGAGTCCCTATCTTCCTCATTTATTTTTCTATAGCAAACGGTAAAATGACCATGTATAAAATTAGGGGTGTCAATGGTTCCGTTCCGCCGGTTATTTTATAAAATTTATATCATACCAATTTTTCAGTTATTCTATTATGTATAATCAAAATTAGACTTTTCAAAATCGTCTCAATCATGTCGGTTTCTCTTCGGTATCGGTATCGGTACGGTTCGGTTAGTTTTTCGTAATTGTTATAAATGTCATATAAAAGTCACTAGTATAAGTAGAATGCAATAACATACGTACTTTTATAGGACTTAGCAAAACTCTCTAGATATTTTTACAGATTAAAAGATGATGAATTAAGAAAATATGAAAGATGGCTAGAGTATAGATCCATCAATTATTCTACAAAAAAAAAATATTAATCACACAAGTAGAAAGATATTAACCAAGTTGGAATTAAAAAATAAAGTCTATAGAAGATTAAACATTCAAAAAGATAAATCTAAATCATACAAAAGGAAGCGTATTCAATATATTTTAGTTTGCTACACATAATCACTACAGTACCTTGTGTCTTGCTAGTGAATATGCTGGAAATAATCTAGTTTTAATAAAAGTAGCATAATAGGTTTGGGAATTAGGATTTTGAGTTTAATTACTTGTTGGCTGTAATTGTTTCATAATTCCAAGGCCCAAGAAAAAATTTAATTTAATGCTTAAACTTAATATATAAATATATTTTTCACATTGTAAATTTATTCGGTATGGTTTGGTATTTTTCGGTTTATTTTAATAAAATAAAAAAATACACTGAGTATCAGTACGGTTATAGATTTATATAAAAACTTATGGTTTTTATTAAAAGAAACCTAAAAATTGATTCGGTACGGTACAGTTCGATCGGTTTAGTCGATTATTAAATATCCATTGACACCCCTATATAAAACCACGTAGAGTAGAAAGGATAAGAAACTTCTCACAAACAAAAAAAATTATGTTGGATGGACTTTTTTAAACCATTATTTATATTTTGATCCTATTAAATTTTTATTTTAAAAAATAGCCCCGCGTCAGAATTTTAAAATGCGTTCGTTATAATTGTGAAGCACTCGTCAAAATTTTAAAGCACAATTTTTTTTATGATTACCAGAATTTTGAACCACCATAAATTATAACGATCACTAGAATTTTCAATCATATTACTGAAAAATTCTGATTATTCGTCAGAATTTGTGGTAAAATCCTGACAATCACCGTAACTGCTCCATGCTTTAAAATTCTGGCTACGAAGAAAATCCTTATGAGTGAACTTTAAAATTTCGGTGGGGTTTTTCTTTTCTAAACTTCAATTACGGGTTAAAAAATTAATAGTGACACCAAAGTATCCCAACCAAAAAAACTCAAAGGTAGTCACTCTATGAGTAATTTATTTTTTTGAAAAATCTTAATAGTTCAGTTGGTTAATTAACTCAACTTTTGCCTCACTTTGTAATCCTCTTTCCCAGTTGCCTTCCCCTCCCCCCTCTCCCATATGTGTAAAAAACGTTTTAAAAAAATTTCATCTTTGATCTTTTATTTCGGACTAATCATTCCGAAATAATTTCAAATAATGAGATATTCCTAAACCTTTTGTTTGTATCAACATTAGGAGCTAAAATTTAGTATAGACTTTATAATTAATGTTACATTAAAAGATAGTAAAACAGAAAAAAAAAAAAAAACAAGTATACGTAAATCATAGGAAAGATTAAAAACAAAAACTATAATTTTGCGCTAGAGAAATATGAATGTTATTTTTTATTTTTCAGGCTGATGTATGTCACGCATACCAATTACTGAAGAAAGGAGGTCTGAAAGATGAAAACATCATCGTATTCATGTACGATGATATTGCTAACAATACAGAGAACCCTAGACCTGGAGTCCTCATCAATAACCCACATGGTCAAGATGTTTATCAAGGTGTTCCTAAGGTTAGTATTTCTCTTTTTCGAGATAAATTCCTTGAATCTTTTCCCCAAGATAATGATGTTTAATTGCTTATGAGGGCTTATTTTTGCTTGAGGCAGGATTATGTAGGTGAAGATGTTAATGCTGACAATTTTTTCAATGTTATACTTGCCAACAAAAGTGGTATCACTGGGGGTAGTGGGAAAATTTTGGACAGTGGCCCAAATGACAATATTTTCATCTATTATACTGATCATGGTGGCCCTGGGATTGTTTGTAAGTAGCTTCTTCACACTATTTCTCTTTGTATTCTGCATAACTTTTGCTTAGTTTAATTTGTTTGTTGTCACAGTGGATTCACATACTAAACTGAAGTTTTACTTGTGGGAATTCCCAATTTTTGATTATCAGTCACTAATTTCGTTATCTTTACTATCACCTGGTGTTTATCATACTGGAAACTAATTAAAGTTATGTATATATGTGTTTCATGTTTTTACTATTATCAGCAATGCCAACTGGACTTGTCTACGCGAACGATCTGATTAACGTGTTGAAAAAGAAGCATGCTTCTGGGACATATAGTAAAATGGTAACTTTCTTATTTCGGTCTTTACTATTTAAGGCCAATCGTTCCTTGGCACAAACATTTTGAGGTCTAATTTTATGTTGGATGATGTTTAAAACCAATCTTCAGGTATTTTACTTAGAAGCTTGTGAGTCGGGAAGCATGTTTGATGGTCTTCTTCCCCAAGGTCTAAATATCTATGTCACGACTGCATCAAAACCAGATGAAAACAGTTGGGGAACGTATTGTGGTTTGGGCCGTGGTGCTTGTTTAGTTGAGTGTCCTCCTCCCGAGTTTGACGGTGTTTGCTTGGGAGACTTGTACAGTGTTGCTTGGATGGAAGACAGGTATGCACAACTTTATTCTTGTCCCCTCGAGAGTCTGATTCAGGATTTAAACTTAGAAGATGACATTTAAAATCATCTCCATTAATTATGCCCAAACTTATTGTTGTTTGCACCTCTGAACAGTGATGTCCAAGATCGACAAACTACAACGTTGGATAACCAGTATGACAGGGTAAGAGAGCTAGTAATACTTTCAACTAATGTATATTTGTAATCAACTTGTTCAAAAACTTGAAGATCATAATATTGTCACAGGTTCAAATCCTTTATGCTATATCGATTTATGCTTTCTTGTATTGCCTGTTCTAAAGGAAAACTAATGATTTCAATATATGGACATGCTCAGATTGCAAACAGAACTGCAGCCAACCTAACACATGGCTCCCATGTCATGCAATATGGTGATATGGAGTTAAGTGTTGATGCTCTTTTCCAGTATATGGGTTCTGTTTCCACAAGCCATAGTCAAGCTCCCAGTCCCATGGCNTGCAATATGGTGATATGGAGTTAAGTGTTGATGCTCTTTTCCAGTATATGGGTTCTGTTTCCACAAGCCATAGTCCAGCTCCCTGTCCCATGGCATCCGCTCCCAGTCCCATGGATGCCGCGTCATTCTTGACATCCTCAGAAATTGTGGACCAACGTGACACTGACCTTTTCTACTTGACATCCAAAGTATGTTGTTTCTGATGTGGAGTTTTCTTCGTTGCCCACATGATTGATTCCGATTCTTTTTAACTGGTCACTTGGTATGTGTGTTGCACGTATTATATATAAGATAGGAAAAAAAAACTGATTCGTTCTTTCTTAATGTTGACAGTACCAAGGTGCTCCTGAAGGCACTAACGAGGAATTTGAAGCTAATCGGAAGCTTAATGAGGTGGTAGCACAAAGAAGTCAAGTGGATAACAACGTAAAACGTCTTGGAGAGCTTCTGTTTGGAGTTGAAAAAGGTAATGAGGTGCTGCAGAGTGTTCGACCTGCTGGAACACCACTTGTTGACGATTGGGATTGCCTTAAATCCTATGTAAGTAGTCAGCCTAATTATAATAATTTTGGGGTACTTTACCAGAATTTCTCTGTTAGTTCGTTTGTTGAGAATGTGACTAGTATTTTCTCATGTCTAGGTCAAGACATTCGAGGCACATTGTGGAAAACTAACCGCGTATGGAAAGAAACATGTACGTGGTATCGCCAACATCTGCAATGCTGGAATTGAGAGTGAGCAAATGGCTGCTGCAACTGCAAAAGCATGTTCAAGTTAATTAGTAGAGGGTTACTCTCGGCGAAGAGATCAATAAGTATATGTTTGGCCAGTTTCTGTCATGGCTGCAACATTTCACTTTGGATAGATAGCAACAATGAGAATAAAATGACTGCCGACAAGCACATCTTGTCCAGTCTCGGTTAATAAGTCAAATAGGAACTTCTGAAGTGTTCGGATATGTAATTCTTGTCCTTTTTATCTGAACGAATTTGAATCGAAATCATGAATGAAGAAATAAGCCAAGACACAAAAAGTTTTGAATTGTCATTGAGAAAGTATGAATGTTTTGCCTTTTTCACATTTGACAAACCGTTATAATTATCCCAAAGCGTAAGAGAAAAATAGCTTTGACACGTAGCTTTGGTGCCCAAGTCTTGCCAAATTTACAAAATGTCTTTTTCACAAGTAATAATGTCATGGGCTGCTTTCCAGACACGCCCCATGACCCCTTGGCCGCGCCTCATGGCGGCCTAGCAAGCCTCACAATGCCTAGCGCCATGGTCGGCTCTATGGTCTTGGCTGCGCCAAGTGACAAGCGCGCATGCGCATGCGCCCAGTGGCTCGCCCCACCGATGTCTCTCGCCAGCGCCCAGTAGCTGGCCAATGACAACAGCGCCGCGCGCCCTGACAATGTCGCACGCGCAGATCCTGATGCCTCGCCAGCGCCCAGCTGCAGGCCCATTCCAGCAGCGCCTCGCGCACAGACCCTGATGCCAAGCACCAGTGCCCAGCCTCAGGCCAGCACATCAAGTGTCGCGCGCGCCCACAGCAACGCGCGCGCAGACCCGCAAGACAAAGATGCTGCCATCGGACTTAGTTTTTCCTTGTAATAATCTAAGTCCTTTTCATTGTAATCATAGACTAGTTTTCATCATTTTCATTTCAGTGTGCTTCTACAGCTTTATTAGGACTAGTCTTGTAATGTTGGTTTATTTTTTTTAAGCATTATTAAGGGGGACCAAACAATCAAACATTTTCAAGCAAGCATTTTCTGGTGTCTCTCCCCCTCGACACCGCATCTTTGTAATCAGCATTTTCATTCATCAATAAAATCATCATCATCATTCAAAACCCAATTCTCTCTCAGCTTCCGCAATTGCTCACGACATTGGTTTTCCCGCACGGCACTGACAATCTAGTCTAGCGTGCGGCGAGGACCTCATTGGCGGACAGCAACCGCACTGACATCGGTTGCTTAGCCTTACGTTGCCCTTCCAAAGAACATCAGGAAGGCGTTGCGTAACAGTTGGTATCAGAGCCTAGGCTCGACATCGGACGAGGGAACACATTTGCCATCATCGCCATTTCTGACCATGGTGAATCATGGGGAGCGCCTGTAATCCCTAGAAGAGACGGTTGACCAATTACGACCCATCGTGGATACGGTGCCTGTTCAAAACAACAACCTAGTGCAAAGGTTGGACGACCTGGACCGCCGAATGCGGCAAGCGGAAAATGACATTGCAAATATCAGTCGTGACTCTGAGGATGACCGACAAACGACAGCCATTGAAACTGCCAATATTCATGGCAAATTTGAGGACCTCCAACAGGAGCGTGCCGACGATTTAGCCCATCGGCAACAGGAGGCAGACAGACTAACTGTCATGCAGCAAACCATAGACGACATGACAGGTAAGCTCAATGTTGTCAATGCTGCTCTACAGAGCCTACTTCGAGGAGGCGACAACCACATCAGGGGTGCAGCAAACCTCACCCCCATTCCACAAAATCTTAAGATACCAGAGCCAAAGCCATACGACGGATCCCGGGATGCTAAAGAAGTGGAAAATTTCATCTTCGACATCGAACAATACTTCGATGTCGTGGGCCATTTGGAAGAATCCAAAAAGGTAGCAATTGCTGCCATGTATCTTCAGGGTGATGCCAAACTTTGGTGGCGGGTTAAATACGAAGCCATCAAGGCTGGTGAAGATACTCTCCAGACATGGGATGAATTGAAGGCAGCACTACGCCTGCAGTTCTTCCCCGAAAATGTGGAATACAATGCAAGGAGAAAGCTACGGGAGCTCCGCCACACAAGATCAGTGCAGGAGTACGTGCGCGAATTCTCCGCACTCATGCTAAACATACGCGACATAGGGGACAAAGGCAAACTCTTCGCATTCATAGAAGGTTTGAAACCTCATGCCCGTATGGAACTACAAAGACAACAGGTAGACACCCTGCCCAAGGCTATTCAAGCTGCATAATGCCTTGGCGATTATCATTTGGGAACTCAGAACGACAGGCCCCAGCCATCTGTCCGAGGGGGATTCAACGGGAACCATCCCAGCAATGGTGGCCCAAACAAAAGTGGGGGAGATCGGAGTGCATCCAAAACTAAGACTCTTCCCTCCAGCAGCAACAATGCTGCATCCATCAACAACAATCAAGGGAGAAAGCCTCCCTTAGAATGCCTTCATTGCGGCGGGGCACATTGGAACAATGAATGCCCAAACATAAAGTTCAATGCTCATCAAACTATCGAGGATGAGTCAAATGAATCAGACACATCAGAAGAAGACCAGGTAGGCGCCTTCAATGCAATTGTTGGCTCTATCTCGCATGCCTTAGCGGGGACCAGTGCATGTCCTCCTAAGAAAATCTCAGTCCCAATCACCAAGAAAGGGAAGGAAAAGATGGACGAGAGGCCTCCTAAACAAGCGAGGACCCTAATGTTCGTCGAATTGAAAGTGAACGGCAAGCCCCTTCATGCATTGATAGACACGGGTGCTACCCACAACTACTTGGCTTCAACTCAAGTAGAGCGCCTGGGTCTTATTGTGCAAAAGAGCAAAGGCCGCGTCAAGGCTATCAACTCACCACCCCAGACATTGGGTGGAACATCTACAAATGTCCCACTGAAACTTGGCCCATACAAAGGAAGCATCGACCTGCGCATCGCAATCATAGATGACTTCGACATCATAGTGGGTTTGGAGTTCATGAGGCAAACCAATACCATACCGGTACCATATGTCAGCATGCTCCTGATGATGGGAGAAAACGGGGCCAAGCCCTGCACCATACCATGCTTTCCCATAAAGATGGCCGCTGAAAACATCTTGGCCATGCAGTTGGAGAAGGTAGTTAACAGACATGAACCCCTGGTTCTGGCTACCCTATGCATCAACAATCAGCCATCATGTCATCGACCTCAAAAGACTGGTGACGCGCCTCAGCGTGTAAAGACTTGTCAACCATGCCACAAGGACAAGTTAGATCATACATCACAGACGGGACCCTTGCAGCCATTACATGTCCCTTAGAGACCATGGGAAAGTGTTTCCCTCAGATTCATCACGGGATTGCCCCAAGTCGGTAATCTTGCATCCATCTTGGTTGTCATAGATCAGTTTTCAAACTATGCAACCTTTATAGCAGCCCCACAGAACATCTCAGCAGAAGATACAGCTCGACTCTTCTTCTCGCACATTGTCAAACATTGGGGCCTGCCCAAAGACATTGTTAGTAGGCGCGACTCACGCTTCACTAGAAACTTTTGGACCCATCTCTTCAGGTGCTTTTGGTCAACATTGAGTCACAACTCAGACATCCATCCACCATCGTATGGCCAGACAGACTGGTTCAATGACATGTTAGAGGAATATCTCCGCAACTTTGCAACCGGATCACAGAATCATTGGGTGAAGCTCTTGGATGCTGCTCAACTATGTTTCAATTCTCAAAAGATCCATCATACAAACAAAAGCCCTTTTGAAATTGTTACTGGACAACAACCGCTTCTCCCGCAAACGGTGAATGCATCAACCATGCCAAAATCTCCTCGAACTGCCAAATTCTCGAGCGAATGGGAGTGCAACATGGGGATAGTGCGGAGCTATCTCGTCAAAGCCCAAGAGCGAGCAAAAAGATTCACCGAACAAAATCTTTGCTTTGCCCAACATCAAACAGGGGACAAAGTAATGCTATGCATCCCAAAGCGGTACTTGTTTGCAGAGAGGACCTATGACCCTCGCCTGCAAGTAAAATACATCGGGCCCCTGCCCATTGAAAACGCATTGGGAAGTCCACACACCAGGTGAAAACTCCATCCTGGTGGAAGATCCATCCAGTCTTCCATGTCAGCCGCATGAAATCATTGCGTCGCTACAACAGTAAGCTTAAAGAACAGAGGGGCGCAGACCTCCCATCCAACAATCATCATCATCATTATCATAAGGCTCCGAGGACGACGCCAACTCAGGTGGGGGAGAATGTCATGGATTGCTTTCCAGACACACCCCATGACCTCTTGGCCGCGCCCCATGGCAGCCTAGAAAGCCTCGCAATGCCTAGCGCCATGGTCGGCCCTGTGGTCTTGGCTGTGCCAAGTGACAAGCGCGCATGCGCCTCTGTCTCCCCACCAATGCCTCTTGCCAGCGCCCAGTGGCTGGCCAATGACAACAGCGTCACGCGCCCTGACAATGTCGCGCGCGCAGATCCTGATGCCTCGCCAGCGCCCAGCTATAGGCCCATTTCAACAGCGCCTCACGCACAGACCCTGATGCCAAGCACCAGCGCCCAGCCTCAGGCCAACACAGCAAGTGTCGCGCGTGCCCACAGCACCGCGCGCACAGACCCTGACCCGCAAAACAAAGTTGATGCCATCGGACTTGGTTCTACATTGTAATAAACTAAGTCCTTTTCATTGTAATTATAGACTAGTTTACAGCATTTTCATTCAGTGTGCTTCTACAGCTTTATTAGGACTAGTCATGCAACTTTGGTTAATTTTTTTTAAGTATTATTAGGGGGGATCAAGCAATCAAACATTTTCAGCAATTAATTTTCTGTACTGGTGTCTCTCCCCCTCGACACCGCATCTTTTGTAATCAGCATTTCATTAATCAATAAAATCATCATCATCATTCAAAACCCAATTCTCTCTCAGCTTCCGCAATTGCTCGTGACATTGGTTTTCCCGCACGGCACTGACAATCTAGTCTAGCGTGCGGAGGGGACCTCATTGGCGAACAACAACTGCACTGACATTGGTTGTTTGGCCTTACGTTGCCCTTCCAAAGAACATCAGGAAGGCATTGTGTAACAATAATACCGAACAGAGCATAATTTTGAGACAAATTATCCGCAAAGTTTTGCTGGATGGGTAAAACTTACCTCGTTCACAAGTTATGATGGGAGGCATAACTTGTACAAATCACTACAAATAACGCTAAATTTGCGGAGGTTTTATTTACATATTGCGGGGGTCAGAAACCTCCGCAATTTGCTTTTACGGCGGTTTCCAAAACCCCCGCAATCAATTTGTGGGGG